ACCTTATATATGTATGATATATATATTAATACCCGATATGTGTATGATATGTGTATTATTTGTGTATTATTTTCTACATTTTAAGTACCCAATATGTGTAAGATATGTGTAGGATAAATCATTTTTTTACCAGTGCATACGACAATGCTAATCACTATTCTTATCTCCTTAACATTTCCCAGCAAGATATAAAGCATGTAGGAGTATGTGGAAGTTCAGCCAACATTTATCAAAAAAAACTTTCCCAGAGAAAATAACGCAAAATAAGGTATGTATATGCCCTAAATTATGTATGTATGGGAGCGAGTTTTTTCTCACTATGGGTCTTTATTTAGGAAAACAAGATGTCTACCAGCGCAGATAATGATATTATTAGTCTTAACTTCCACTACCATAATGCAGGAAATAAGAACGTAATTTTTGTGATTGAGATTTCCAAGGATAAAACAGTTTCTGATCTTGAAGAAGAAGTAAGAAAGAAGCTGGGATCAATCAACCGTAACGACTTCCTCCGCCAAATTTATCCTGAGGAGAAGCCTATGCGAACAGAAGATAGGATTTTTTCCTATTTTAACGAGACTCCTGATGAAGACCGTATTCATATCCGAATTCTTCCCTAGCGACTAGTTAGAATTTTTTTATCTATATTCATTATCATGCTATGTAATAGTTTTTATGTATTGTAGAGTTGCCTCTGGCAACTAATATCTTTTATTTCATAAATAAAGTATTATTATTTTATCGGTACATGAGAAATGGGTCACGTGAAATGATGTAATCCCTGTACTATATAAAAACCTATATTAATGGCCAGTATTCTCTTTCCCGAACAGAAATATTTTTTTATCTTACTCCAGAAAGTAACACTATTTTTGTCCGAGCCCAATATCCCTATATAACGCTATGTCTTCTGAAACTAGTACACCTTATACTCCAGCTTCCACCTCCACTACTGTTGCTGGAAATGAGATTGTCTCGTTGGCGGAAGAAATTAAAAAATATAAAACAGAGGCACTTATCGAATACTTACAGAAGGAAGAGGACTTGGGTCTTGACGACGATGACTTTGAGATAATTCGCAAGCAAAAGGTTAATGGCCGTACCTTCTTCAAGATAACCAAAGAAGAGCTTCGCAGTGCTGGCTTAGGTTTGGGACCTGCAACAGCTCTCGTGGACTTCGCTAAAGAGTGTAAGGATAAAAAATTACGCTCGTTTTCCTCTTACCTTAGCTTGAGTGAGGTGTTGGTGGAATATGGTTACGACTCCGATGGTATAGATTCCATTCCGCTCTTCTCCCTTCCCACATACGAAATTAAGGAAGATAATGAGATCCTCAAGCGTTGTATGGAAGAAATTTTGGGTAGGTTGCGCTCCTACAGAACTTTACAGCCGGATAGCTTGGAGGCCATGCGTAATGAGTATGTCGTAGCACTTCTTCACGCTTCCATCCATATCGTCATGGATTTAACAGACAAGGAGCTTAGCATGCGTCCTCAATATGGAATAGTTAGTGAAGAAAGCTGAGGCCGGGTCGATTATGCAATAAATGTAATTTTTTTGTTATTCCTACTATACACATGTTAACTTACCACTAACATGAACTATGAAAATATATGGATAGGAGGCTGAAGACCTTATCTGTATCACGGAAGATAAACAACATAAGGTTCCTATAGGTATCGCTCAGAATATCAAACAACTTAAGAGTGCATGCAAGACGAACAAGAGGAAGAGAAAGCGGGGCGCTGATGATTTTGATTATCTCTATGGTATCGTCACAACAGGTTGGGACTGACATTTCCTTTTATATAGCCCCAGAAAAATATCTAAGGCAAGTGATACCGCGTATTCGATCGAATTTACAAAGAAGGCTTTAGATCCAAACTCAGAAGAATACCAGTCATTGTGTAAGAGTGTGAGAAAGATTTTGGGCATTATTGTAGGGCATGTGCGGAAGAAAAGCCAGAAAGGAAGAGAGTTAGAATAGAGGGTTATTGATCGAAAAAATAATTGGCCGTAGTCGCTTCACATGTATAGTAGCATAGAAACTTCGGTATGTAGCTCGGGCTACGTCCTGAACATTTGTATTTATTTATAATAATAAAAGAATTGAATTTTGCAGGTATATATGATAAGCGAAAAAAATATAGTCATGGAACTGCCATTCCAGGGCTATAAACAATTTATTATATCATAATCACGCCTTAAATTCGTGATAGAGCCAATATATGTTCTGGCCCTAAAACACTCGTCTTGGTAAATGCATCATATAATGCATCCGGTCTATGCTTCGAAGGAGTTAAGTTTGAATGATGGAGGAATTTCATAAGCACGTTGTTCCTCCAAGTTTTCATCTCTTCTTGCTTCCAAGTTATTCCTATTAACGTAGTCAAGTTATCAATGGAATAGTTCATTTGGATTAGATTCTGGAGCGAAGATCGTTTATTTTTTTCCAGAGTAAATAGACTCATTCCTCCCATAACAGCAGACTTTACACTAATAATAAATTTTTCACGAATATCTGCTCTAATTGCTAAGACAGATAGAGGCGGAATTAGAGCTGGGTAGTAGAAGTCGGCTAAGGGATCCAGCTCAAATTCACCGACATATATAGTCCCAATATCTTCTAAATAATCCGAAAGTCTATTAGCATATCTGTAACCTTCACGAATCAACTTCTGGAATAGCTTTCTGTTTGGATTGATCCATCGGCCGGTTAGAATGTTGAGTACTGTTTTTTCCGCGTCCATAGATGTTGATTTATGCTGTGGTATATGATTAATCGTTTATAATATACTTTTTCCACCACAGTTCAATTAGGATTTTCTTATTTTGAAATTCGAATTCTATAATGTGAAAGGTGCAAGAATATAATAAATGGATCGTCTTACCTGTCCCCACATTAAAAAAGATGGAAGTGTTTGTGGCCGTGTTTGCATCCGCTTGGCAGGATGTTCGCTCCACTAGAAATCGGGTGCAAATAATATGCTAAAATCTCCATGTAGAATATGCTTTAAACCTACATTATCTTATACGGGCTATTGCTCCAAGCATGCCAAAAAAATTTATCATCGCCTCGAAAGAGAGAGAGAACGAATAAGTTTGATATAATGACGATGCCTACTTGTATGATGGTCGTAAACCCTTATTAATAAAAATTTTTCTTGGCAATTTTCCGTGACAGCCTGTCACTCAAATTTTTTAGCAGAATTAAATATATACTAACAGACTTTTGAATATTACATATCTTCTATAAAAGTATTATCAATCATGTCGTCAAACCTTGAATTATTGGAACAACGCATTGCCAACCTTGAAGCTGAAAAAGATGAGCTTAAGAGCGAGAATGCTGAACTTAAGAATGAGAATGCGAAATTGAAATGGATTATTGAGGAGAATGCCAGGCGTGATGCTGAGAATGCCGAACACAAGGTCAGAATCGAGGAATTGGAGAAAAATAGTGCAGATATTTCAGCCAAAAATGCTGAGCTTAAAGCCGAATTAGCCAAATTAAAACATGATTTCGATTCCTCCAACCTCACGAGGCCTCAGCAACCCCAGCATGTTACTAATGTGCAGAACTCATGCTCTGTTGAAGAAGATATATCTTCAGCTAAGCCCGAGAGACGCTTCGCTTCGAATGATATACCTGATTTTGTAATAGACTAACGTGTAGCTACTACCCAGGACTTATCTGGTGTTTCAAATGAGACCACCTCTTCTGTAATAAAGGACGAAAAATCTCAATCACATAAGAAGAGGGAAGCGGAGAATATTGTACAGGATGTGTTTGATTTCACAGCCACTTCGGCACCTGAGAAAAATCATATGACTGAAATTTCCATGATGGCCTGTCACGAAAAATCTGATATGGATAATCCCCAAATATATTACAAAATCTAGCCTGCTTAATCCAAGAAGCATGGGATGCGAAAGATGAAGCAATTTTAGCTAACCAAAAAGAATTATTGTGTTGGTGTTCCTATATTGTAGAATTCAATAAAAAGATCACAGAGTTTATGACCGAGTATAAAATTGGCGAGAAAAAAGTGAAAGGTATGATTTATGACAATCTTATTAAACTCCTTCGTCTTGGTACTAAACATAACACATTACTAAAACAAACTCAGAGAGCAAGAGACATATACAAATTATTTGAGAAAATAGGAATTGATAAAATTAAGTATATCACAACATATAGTGCGAATTCTATATCAGAATTATCTGATAGTCAAATTCAAACTATTGTTGATTATTTCTCCAAAAATCCAAACACTGAATTACCAGATGATCGGGATGGCACTATTATCGATTTCGAAGAGGATATTTCGAATGATCAGGATAATGTATTGGAGGAGCAAGCAAAACCCTTGGTTTTAGCAACGCAGGCTGAGGTAAGCATCCCAACTGCACCTATTCCATTAACTCATGTCTCCAATTCTTCAGGTGATTCCTTCAGCTCGAAAAAATTGGATGCCAAGGTAAAGGTGGTGCCACCTATTCCTCAACCCAAGACTCTAGTCCATGACCACTCCTATTTTCGCAACAAGACATTGGATCAATATCCTAATTTATATAGAGAATTTAGTAGTGAAGATTTTGATTATTATGGAATTAATGACGAGACATTATGCCCATTATGCAAGTTAGATCATGATGATGAGAAAGGTATAGAT